AAAGTAAAGGAAGACAAATGAGTGCAATCGCATGCTCATTCGTTTGTTTTAACCGTTCTTCCTTGACTTTGGGGCGATCCGTTTCCACTCGTCAGATGTACGATGTAGTGGCGTTTTCACATTGCTCCAGTTGTTTTTCATATTCAACGCTACAGTCATCTTCGAATATAGGATTCTCAGTTTGCTCGGATCCACTGTGACGATTTTCCTCGTTTCCGGAGAATTGGTCGTCTTTGAGGTTTGCATATGCCCTGGAACTATCTTTTTGCACTCGTGGTTCCTGTCTTTCTTGTTGGTGATCGTCTTGTGTTATTGTTGCCATCTTCGGCAAATTGTCCATCTTTGGCTGAAAATTCTCTGATTTTACATGTTCGGGTGCATTTGAAATGTCTTCTTTTCCATACTTTTTCTTCAACGGTATCAGGTATCCATCATCCGTATCACTTGGCATCAATTTTAGATAGTCCGTCTTGGTCCGGAAGTACTCTGCGTTCTTTTTCTCGAACAACTCGTACTTTTCCATGTAGTGCTATAAGAGAACATGACTGAAAAGTTGTTGAAATCTGGGTTTGAATCAAAGATGCAAAGAGCATGGAAGAGATTCTCACCAGACGCTCAAACTCAGGAAGCATTTCGCCGAACCATGCACTCAATACGGGGAAGGTCGGACGATTGTTTGGATCCTCATCCCAACACTTCCTCATTATTTGGTAGCTGTTAAGGGACGAAAAAAAATTGTCGGTATGAACCTCCGATGAACATCACGTTCAAAGTAACAACCGCGACTGGTATACAGTGTCTCACAAATGATGATCGGCGAATCGAGGTGCCTCCATACGGTACCCCGTCTGAAGAAGCCGGATGAGCTCTACGCCGTTCAATCCAGGATACGGGGTCTTCCCAAGGCTGAACATTTCCCAAAGTGTAATTCCATACGCCCAAACATCTGATTTGCTCGTATAGACCATGTCCTGTGTGAGGGACTCCAAGGCCATCCATTTTATCGGCAATGGACCCTGGAAGATGCAGATTCCGTCCATTAGTGAAAGTGGACCAATCATGGATATTGCAACAAACCGTGGTGGGGAAATGTGGAACTCACATCCCCCTTCGTGATGTACTGATTGTTCTTATAGATGTCTCTGGCAAGGCCAAAGTCGGAAATCTTCACAATGTTGTCTTCTGCAAGTAAAATGTTTCTCGCAGCCAGGTCCCTGTGCACCACCTATGAAAGCAATGAAACTCGAAGATTAGTTGGTTTCTGAATTCTATACATTTGGTTGAACTCTTCTTTCCCGACAATATCAAATGCCATTTAATAAATTGTAATTGATTCATTGACATTTACTAGGTCCATTTTAAATAGGATTGTTAGGATTAAATGTAGGATTCATGAATTCGAAATTTTTTTGGCCATTAAGGAGGACTGGGGCACGGTGGGAACAGATGTTGAGGATCAAAAATAGGTGAGAAACTAGATAAGAATTTGCTCATCCTGAGCGTTTTACTTTTCCCTCCTGTGCTTCACATATTTTTCAATATTCAAATTCAGATCTCATGTAAAAGTCACCCTTAATTGGAGCTCGTTGATTTATGTTTACACGTTGACGACCAGCCTATTCAAACATTTTTCTTCTACATAAAGTACCTTTACGTCCTGTTTATTATGTCAGGGTTCTGAGCTGGGTGCAAAGGAGTGGAGTAGCGGGTACTCTTGTGTATTTGTAAGGAAGAGC